AAAAAATTTAAAAAAAATAATTTCCTTTTTTTTTCATATTATAAATAAATAATATTTTTAAATAAGCTAAACAAGAATCGTAAAAAGAAATCTGTGCAAATCAAGATATCGAGAATGCTTGAATTTTGAATATATAAGAAATCAGATTCTATCTATATAATCTTATAGATATCAATATCATATTTTTTTGCTATTTTTTATCATTATATAATAATATATTTTTATGAAATCAAATTAGAATAATATTAATTTTATATTCTATTTTTTTGGAATCAAAAATAATAAAATAAATTATAAGCTATTTATATATATATATAGAAAAAATACTTAAATATATTTTTATATATTACCGCACGCAACCGTTATTTTCAAGACATATCATATTAATATTCGAAATGCAATTTTTCAATATTATTATCGAATCTATTTGGATGAGTTTGGGGTTGGTAGTTCTCCCGACTTCATGGAACCAACCCCTCCTGGAAGATTCTAAATATTATTATTATTCTAATTTTCATTTCATAGTTTTGTAGAAAACCAATGTTGTCGTCTTGCTTGCCCGCATCGTTTTGCAGGACTGTACCAGCTTGTCAACTTAAGGATGGTTTAGTCTGAAATCTGTTATCGGGGGTTGAGGGTATCATCCCTCTTGTCCACTGTCTGGAAATGAAAACTATGCAGTTTTCTCGGGTTCTGGGGTGTGAACTTCATGTTGTCAAGGAGAGTCTTTTGTTTTCTAGTCTGCCAGTTGGAAGTATGGTGTCAGCTCGCCCGGGGCCCATTCCTGCAATCCAGACCAGGAAACATCAAGTCGTAATTTCAACGGACGTTGCTTGGGCCACTGCCGCAGTTTGCAGCATCAGAAAGCCTGATCTTTCCCAAGAGCAACAGCTGCAGCTTTTGAGACACGTGGCAAGGATGTCTGTCATTCGTCTGGAGTCAGTCTAGCAAGCCAAGGTGGCAACCATCGGCGTTCGACGTGGCAGGTCCTATGATCTGCGGGTGGCACGGACGGTCAGTGCCCTACACTTTACACTTCCGTAGGTGCCTGGTGCGACTTGGACTCGAGGCCGCGGTGGAACCCGTGAGGGGTTCGCGTTCCGGTTGACCTGCACGCACACCACCACTGAGACGAGGCAAGAGCTTTCCACAAGTCTGTGCGCCGAGTGCTGTGCCGCTGGAGGTGGGATCACCGGAGGCTCAACCACAATTCTGAACCCCGTGTCCCGTTGCGGAGTGGAATCTTGGTCCACAACATTCCACGACATCCCTCTTTTGCCAGCCCTGCTGTCAATGTCCGACAGCGTTGAGCTCAGCACTTGCGAACTGCATAAACGAGTCCTCTCCTTGGACTTCGGCAGTGCACGAATAATCACGAATGGATGAGTCTTCGCCGAAACGTTTATGGTGCCAGCTTGGCGTGCGAAACAAGCTGGGCACGTCACTGTAAAGCGGCTGGATGGTAAGGAGGAGCTGCCAGTAGATAAACCATATGGAAGCCTTCCCAAAATGCTAGCCCTCACGATTTCAAGCAACCAGCAAGTACACGTATCCGAGGAGCTCAGAGATGCTGAGAGTAAATGAAAGTGCGACCCCATGTGAGGTACGGTTGCTAGCTCTGACCGCTTGAAGAAAGCTGTCGGGCCTCTTTCAGGCAATACAGAGCCCACTGTGTGTCAATCTCCATCAAGAGGTTCCGCTGAATGGAGAGGAGCACCTTGCACACTGCAGAAGCTTTATCATCGAAGCTATAAGTCCCTGTGGCCAGTGTTACTAGTAGCTGAGACAGCCACCATTGGCCGGAAGAGCAGCATGTAGTATACTGAGCGAAATCGAAACAGCGCCTGGCAACGGCGGCAACTGCAGGCGAGTCAAGAAAAGCTTACCACTGGCCTCCTCCGCAAGGAATTCGATTAGCTTCTACGATTGTCGAAAAGCCAGTTCCCTTCATAGTGATCGGGATTCTTCCCTGGAGCTGATTCAAAAATGCTGGTGGCGTCTGTCATCGTGCCCTTCAGCTGGAAAGGGAGGAGACCTATCCGGTGGAGTAGTAGGCTAAACCGAAGGCTCCAGAATGTGTGCTCAGTTGACAGCAACGAGCCATGCAATGCAATCGCTGCAAAGCTGAAACCATTGCAGGAGGACTTGCGCGGCTTCTTGAGGTCATGACTGTCATCAGATCAGCGGACGGACACGCTGTAAAGCCCTTTTGAATCCGTCTCACCACGTACCGGACCCTTCACTCTGCCAGGCCTCCTGCTTCCGATAAAGCAGGACGCCCATCTGACAGAACTGCTGGCCCTGCGATGGGGCGGCCAGCGACAGCCGGACCGGGCCCCAGCACATTCGGAGGCGAAGCAACTGAACTCAGGAACTCTGATAGGCCCCGTGCCTCCAAGCCCACAGCCTCGGAGTTTGGCTTCCAACCCGGAGGTTGCTCTCCAAGTTCTCGCTAGTACTCCAGAGACTTGGGCTGTCTACCAGGGTTCACAAGATGCTCATGTTACATCATGTCATGTTACTAAGTGAAGTGATCTGCAAGAGGACTACCCCTGCTCCAGCTGTTGAGGCTGCTGACCACGGTATGCAAGCTGTAGTTCAGTGCGAAGATGATACACAGGTAGATCGTGGCCTGCCCAGTGCCACCAGCAAGCGCGTCAGCAGAATGTTTCCGCAGAGAGCACTTGCATCCCAAACATGTCTTTTGCTGGCAGCGGCTCAAGAGTGGCCCATCGCTCTTGCCAAGGCCTGGCGCAGTGAGCGGCCCTCCCCAGAATCGGAAAAGCTTCTGTTGAAGAACAGCCCAAAGTGTGGCAGAGCCTCGTGTACTTCTCGTGGGACTGGAAAAAGTCCCCCGCTGTCACAGGCGTTGTGGGGTTCGCACCTCCCCCAGCCACTTCCCAAAACGATTGGTACGGGTGAAGTTGCAGATTGTTTTGCAAGCAAGAAACATGAGGCAACGGTTCACAACTCATCAATCGCAAAGAAACTTCCTTCCCAGCACCCGTATACCATCAGGTCTGAGGCACTATTCTATCAAACGAGGTGGCCTGCCGAGTCGGGTATCAAAGGCTGAAGAAGAGTCCCGCGATTCACCAGTCCAAAATACCTGGCAAGTGCGGAGTGAGTTCCGAGCCCCTGACACCGAGCCTTTCTTCCACAGAGAGCACGGGCAGGAAAGGCGATCTCCGGAACTTTCTGGCCTGGCCGGCACTGCGAACTGCGCTAAAACCTTGCAGATGACCAGGCCTTGCGACGACCCTGTGAGGTGTCGCCAACCATGTGCCACCTGTCCACCACTGCAACAACTCACCTGAGCTTTCGGTTTTAAGCTGCGGGCCGAGAACACAAGCGAACTACACCCGAATGCGCGAGAAGGGGGTACGAATAAGGTGTGAAACCGTTTCTCCAGAGTTCCAGGGTGACAGCAGCAGATCTCGAAGCACGGAGAGGCATCCAGAGCTTTCATTGATCTCGCCATTGTCACAACGACTATCCAGAACTTGTCAAGGCGCGCTTGAAGATCCAAAGGCTTACAGACTCTCTAAACTCCACATGCACTTTCTGGATCCCGAAGCCCTATTTCAGCACATTTGAGGCGTGGGGTCCCAAATCACCAACCCGAAAGTTTGGGAACTCAAATCTAAGGATGAGCTGAGTCGCCCAAGTTCACAACTAAGTCTCCTTCTGCCGCGCGCAGAAGTGTCCAGTGGCCTGCCTAGACGGAAAAGAAACCGGAGTTTTAGAAATGAGGGGTCCCTGATGTAGACCCGAAATAGTCAGATCATGCAAACCTCAGGAATAAACGTGGTCATTCCAAAAATACTCCCAACAGCAGCTTCGCGGGCTCTTGCATTGTAGTCCGAGACATTTCGGCATGCTCTGGCTCCCACAAGTTATGCTGATACAGAAGGGGCGACGAGTGGAACTTCTGCATTTCATGGTTTCTGCTATCACTGCAGTTGTCGCCAACAATTGTTCAAAAGTGTTGTCGGATGCTGCATCTTCAGCAGCCACAGCAGGGTGGCGACGATGCAAAGTTTCCGACACCCATATTGGTCTTGGTTTTTATCACAATGATTTTCCTTCTTGCGATTACTAGCTCTAGTTTCAGAACATCGCCATTCCTCTTGACTAGTCCTGGAGATAATGACTCTGTGTGTGCGTCTGCAGTCAGCACTAGCCATCACCGTCATCGACATCACTAGCTTCGCATAACCTGCGGTTTGCTTGCCCCAATCGATACTTCGCTGGTTGCCCACTCATCGATACTTTCGGAGTCGCGGGGTACTGTGCCCAGCCCTGTCTTCAAGGAGGCGTGTCCAGCAGCAGCAGCAGCAGCATCACTACTACTCGTGCTGCACCACTAGTGTTGCTTGCCAGTAGTACTGTCAGCTTTGTTATTCTCGCTTTTGCTTTCTTGATTTCGTTGGTATACACCCTAGTGCCATAATGATTGTTGCAGCCTGTTGCCTCCCTAGCTTGCTCTTCGTCTTGTCACTGTTGATGTGACAGGTTGCTAGAGGACATCTGCTACTGTACTTGCTGTACCGTTCTTGTATCTCATCTCAGGTTCATGAAAGTCCTCACAATGCGCTTATTACCAAAATATTAAATATGCGTGTACTGCGGGTACTGGATCTACTGTTGGTTCTGTGGTTGTTGCCGTACTGCTGCTTTTCTGACTGGTTTACTATTGGTCGTTCTCACAGAGCTCCAAGTGCGAAGGAAACCCGTGTCCTCGCCTTGTCACAGACCTCCAGGCCGCTTACAGCTGGATCTGCCAGCAGAACCTAGGCAGCATTTCGCTTTTTTGGCTTGGTAACTTAAGCTTGACGCAAGCACATGTGGCATACAATGACTTTTGTATTGGCATGCACCACAATCTATTCATGTGCACTTGGCAGGACCCTGGTGGTTGCAGTTCGTTCTGCCCCGTGAAGCTTCAGGCAAAGTCGGGAAGCATTCCTTGTGCTTCTGGAAGCTGGGATAAGCTAGGAAGAGTAACAATTTTCATAGGAAGCTCGACGCCAGCCTGTACGACTTGCGCATCAATTTGCTGAAGGGTCGTACCAGAGCGGCTGCCCAAGGATCAGGCCGTGACACATCCCCAGTCCGTATGCTCTGGCCTCAAGCTCAGACTGTCTCAAGCGCAAAGAACACTCTTTCGCCACTCACGACATGAACGCCAGCGTTTATACCATCTGTATTGTCTTGTAAATGTTATCCTCGGCGCATGGTGTTTTGCATGTTGGGCTGCGCCATTGGTATAGCCGTCATATACGATGGGAAAATGACTTGCTGAGTCCTCTTGATACATCTGTCAAACGCTGTTAGCCATGCTCTCAGATGGTTAACTATCATCTATGCTATCAACAACGCCCTTACACACGACAGCAGCTTCGGAGCATTTCACGAGCGAATAAGCACACTTGGTGTATATATATATATATACACAGACAAATATATATATATATATATACATATATACACATACAGGTGACATGATGTAAAAAAACATATACATACACATGATATGTATATATATATATATACAAACGAATATATGTGTATATATATATATATAGATGCATACGTAAAAACGCAGAGAGAATTAAGCGATACGGCAACGTAAAAAAAGCAGAGTGCTTTATGCGTTGCGGTGGCTCTGCATGATGTAGTCAGGCTCATGGAATCGTTTAGTGAGGCGTTGCTACATATGAGTATCGTACCCTGATATATCCTTGCGCATCAACACTGAGAAAATGCGTTCTGCGTGTCCAGTGTTACAGAAGTGCATGTACGGTTCTGTCGTATCTGGCCTGCTTCATGACAGCACATCTTGGCACTCATCTTAGCACTTTTCGTGACGTACCACATCGCGTGGGACGTTGCCAAACACTGTCATTTCCGGCCGTATAGTCTTCGTGCAAATTTTTAGCATCTAGTGTCGTGTGTTCTGAAATCCGCACGGTATATGCTGTTGACAACATGTTTTGCTTGCTTATCATATCTCTAGCACACGTATTGCCTTTTAACAAATAATATGTGTGTGTGTACATACAAATGAGCCTATACATGCTGCCCCTCACTAAACAACTTCCAGTACAGTGGCGGACTGGCACATAAACTACCATCGTTGGGTGGGTCGTCGTATGAACTCATTACACTTACTAGTGCTATGGAGAGGCCAATACCGCCAAGGCTACAACGCATCCATGACTTCTCAAGGAACTCGTGAATAAAGGCGTTGTAGATGACTACACGTAGTCTTTAGATATGGTCATGCATGCTGCCTCCCTGCACATGCTGCAGCGTGCCCGAGCACATGGCGATCTGACGACGGTGCCTCCTGCAGCCTGCAAATCCTCCTGTCGGCATGTGTTTCTGTGTCCCTCTAGTTGCTCAACAGGCGCAACCAACAAAACATGCCTCAGAAACGCTGGGATAGAGAATGGCTCGCATCGATGATCGATGCTCGTCCAAGGCAGTCGCGAAGGTGTCCATCTCGGCACAGGCAGGCGGGGGTCCACACTTTCAGAGGAACAGGGCGAAGCACTCCAAGTGTAAGGCTGGGAGCTGCATGGCCAGGGCAAACAGCTTCATAAGGGTGGCGACCAAGTCTTCCATTGCTGCCTGTAGCGCCAGACTCACCGCACTTCGCATTCCGCTTTGCAGCGAAAAGAGCCGCTGGGCTGCCCGCATAGTACATTGCCCATGTATCTGACAGCTCCTGTCAGATACATGGCACAGCTTCCCAAGCCGTTCTAAGGGCCCCGTACCCCTTCCTCGGGCCCGGACTTTGCTGTCCAACTGCCAAGGCAGACTGCCTCGTCCCTGCACAGGGCCCAACGAGAAGCTGCCATCTTTGGAACCGCCCACCTCGATGCACAGACACATAGATATGCACCCACGTCCACCTCAGGACCTCAGTCACGGGCGACCTTCTCAGTCTCGGCAGGGACCTGATCTGCAGAAGTCATGTGCAGCACACACATACACACAGACATACGCCCACACACACACACACACAACACACACACATAGATAAATTGAAGCATGCATCCGTAAAAACACACACATGCAGACATACGCACATGACATGCCTGTCTACATAACTACATACAGACACACATACGTACATGCATGCATGCATACATGGATGCATGCTACCATCCGCAGCAGACCAAATCAGAACAGATTGCTTTCCATGGTGTTAGTTGATGGCTGGACACGTTATGTTGATTGTACATCTCCACATATGTATATATATATATATTATATAATACATATAATATGTACCATGTTGAACATGTATGCGCATGTGTACAGTCAGGTACATACATTCATGCATACCCCAAATGTGTATACACGTACGTGTGTAGATACATGTCATGTGCTACATGTCCATATTAGTCAAGCATCTGCAGTCAAACATGTTCCGAGGTGCAGAGCTAATTACGCAATGCTTCGCTTCTGGCGTGCTTCGTCAGCAAAACTGTGACTGGCATGTTATGAAATCATGTCCTGTTCTGTTGCGTTGAACACGTAATGTCACATTCTGATGCATCATAGAGTATTATGCCAAGATCTGCGATCATGAAACGTGTCGTTGACATGTATCCGTATACTCTGAACAATAGTCTACTACGCAGAGTGTTATGATGTTGTACATACGCGTAACCTGCGGGAGGTTCTGCCGAACTTGTCACACTTCTATACACATAACATACCAGCAATTTCATAATCTAAAGATGGCGAATGTCGTTCACAAGAAGCGGTACAGACTATGAAGCAAAGCATGCCATGTAGCTTTTGTGCCTTTAACCTATTGTGTGTCCGCCATATAGCTTTGAGCATGGCTCTCAATGGAGGATGTTAAAGGCGCTGACAGAAACCGACGTTCCATAAACAACGGTGAAAGCCATGCTTTACAACTATGAGAAGACAAACATAGTGCACGGTGCCGTCGGTCAAAGACACATCGTCGTTCGTAAGACATAAACGATGGTGGAAAGACCGCTCTCGCACGGCCCAACTTGGTGTTCGACGACTAGGCCTGGGGCTGCGTCTACCCTGGCCTGCGACCTAGCCGCTCCGACCTTCGGTCGGTCAGACACTTGGGGGAGCTTCTAGATGCTCCTGAAACGCAATAATACTGTATTTGTAGGTTGCAGTCTATTCTATTCTGCTTTACTGTGCCGTGTTGCGAGTAGAATACCCTCTAAATGTCAACATTGATTGGTTGAAAACTAAGAAGATGCCCTACTTTACTTGCCCGATACTGCCATGCAGCACTACGTTATAACATGTTATGAACTACGTAGCAAAACAGTGTCAGCATCATTCAAGGTTAGTAGTACAATGGGCTGAAAACACTAGCTGTTAGCGCCGTTAGCGGTATGACGCAGTGCTCACGATGATAAAACTCCATTGAAATCCTGAACACAGGAACGATATTGTTGCAGTATGTGCCATGTACCTGTAAGTAGTCATACACATACGTGCTAACTCACTCAAATACAGGTCACACACACAGAGTAACGATGGTAAGCAGTTACATATTACATGGAGGCATATTGCCTTGAACTTTACGAAGGCTTCACGAGACAGCGGCAATAGAAGCCTTCTCACTGTTCTCAGAGGCTGGCATAGTCCAGCCAAACGAAACGGCTGTCCGCTCCGCACACCATGTTCAGCCTGCCAAAGCCGTCCCACCGGTCTCCGCAACGGGCAGGGCGCAGCAGTGAATGCGGCAACCACGCTGGGAGGGCACATTCGATTGCGGGCTGCGGCGGAAGAAGGCTGTGCATTCCTGGCGGAAGCCTCGGCATAGCAGCACAGACGCAGGTCAATGCCACTAAAGCTTTGAGCCTCTGCTTCGAATAAGGGCTCTTTGAACCGGACCTTCCATCAAATCTTTGCTCACGCCATGTTCCGTCACGACGAAGAAGCCAACCTGAACTCTGAATACGACTAATTACTCGGCAATTTCATGCCAGATTCATGAGCAGTCACTCAGGCTGCTAAACACATAGCCACGGCAAATCATATAACCGGACAGCGGCCTAACTCTTCTGGACCTCTCGTTCTACGACATGTTGTGCAGGCTGCTCAGGAGCCGAAGGAACGACGTTCACATGGTTCTAAATAGGACTTGCGCTTCCTGCGCCCAGCACTCTCAGAGCGCCTCTTCACAGGCAGCACGCAGCTGGCTTGCGAGGTCCAAGACTCGCAGGTTGCTGCTGAGCTCCTGTCCGTGCAATTCGCAATTCCCACCTGCTTAGCGATCGTTCCGGAAGGCACATCCTCCAAGTCAGAGCAGTCGGCTTCAGCCTGAAGAGCCCAAGTCCGTTCACACCTCTGCAGAATCGAAAAGAACTGATGCCAAGCACCTCGAAGAAGCTCTGCAGGCTGATGGTGGGCACCTGACTGCTGTGGTTAGGCTGAGGCATCGGAAGCACAGCTTTCAGCCGTCTGCTTGCCAGTAGCGGAAGCAACCATCATGGGGGTTGCATGCTTGCTAGATCAACAAATCTATGCCGTTGCACTTGCTACCCGAACTACTGTTCTTGTTGCATCACTTTCTTCGACTTCAGTAACCGAAGACAATGGATGAACCCTGCACTGAACTACGCCAGTGGCGCTGCGACTCGCAGTCATTGCTTCCAACACTACCAAGCCGATACAGTATCCATAATAATAGCAAAGGCAGCATAAGCGCCAAAAGACACGAGAATGCTTGTGTTTTCAGCAATGCTTTGGAACGTCATACGGGCAAAACTGATGATGATTCAATAGCAATAAATAATACACCACTGACCAACTGGAGAGAAAAACAAGGGGGTAGCGACATCAGGGAAAAACAAATGACCGCACTGATCACAACACAATACAACCGCTTTTAACACTACCTCTGTGAAGGATTCATCGAGGCCGCCTAGTCTTCAATCCGCTTGAACACTTGTGAGATCTTAAACCTACGGAAGGTTCAAGCATGTCGTTTATACTGCCTCTGTTCCCGAAGCCCCTCGGCCGCTCCACACATTTAAATCACGTCAGCGCGGTAAAAACGAAAATCAGCAGTCATGCGCGCACCTACCCACAAATTCAGGAATCATGAAACACGTCGCAAATAGATACTATATTGGACATTATTCATTCGTACATACATGTCATGTATAAAGAAGTATACACCTGTATCTGTGTATGTATATATATATATATGTATATATATATATATGTATGTATGTATATATATATATGGTCCCGTGTCGGTACACCCCCCATCCCCCCACCCCCCATGGTATGCACCCGGAATCCTCGTGATGGTCGTCACTTTTGTCTCAGAAGTGCCAACAGTCACAGGGATGGGCCCCCCGAACCCGGGATCCTCGTGAATGTTGTGGCTTTTGAAGCTATGCAACTTCGCGGCGCCTCCAAAGTGGCGACACTCACCTGGATGGGCCATGGTTTCGGTCTGCACCGCGCCCAGCTGCTGACCCTCAACCCTAAACTCTGTCTACACACCTGAAAACCCTAAACAACCCCACCACCCACACCACAGGGCGGGTGCGGGTGCAAACCCTAAACAGCCCCCACAGGAGGGCCGCGGCGGAGCACAGAGAGGGCTGGCACACACCACAGCCAGGCCACCTAAACCGTAAACAACCCCATGACAAGGGGGCGCGGGCGCTTAAAGGGAGGGGGGCAGTTAACTAACCCAAAACCCACCACCACACCACACGGAGACGAGGGCGGTTGAAAACAAGCCAAAAACCACGACCACACCACAGCGCTGGGCCGGGGCGTGGGCACGCACCACACGAACCATAATGGGGGGTAGGGGTGGATTCCATCGGGTAGGGCGAGGCTGCCCCCAGTGGTTCCCCCGGTCCCCCTTCGAACATGGTGATCACGATCCCCGTCCGCTCCTTCGGTCCCTTGCTCAAGTGTCCTGAATGACAATCAAGCACATGCTCGGGCTGATTTGTAACGCTCCAAGCCCACAACCGAAACTGAGCATAGAATCACGACGGTCGATACAAACTACGAAAATCTACGAAAACACATCAAGCCAAACAAGCTTTTGAAACCAACAAAAGCAAAGAACATGTGGTACCTAAGGGCAGAACAGCCTAAGAGCAGTGGTGCTGCCAACAGTCACACTCGGAGTACCAGCATGCAAGAAGCACATCAGTGTCATTGTCTTCAGCATCACCGCCGTCATTCTCATCTCTGCGGGGAGGAGCGGGGTGTGCGATTTTGAGCGAGAGAGTTCCAAAAGAACGTCGACTGTTGCGAGGATGATGATGCGGACGAGCACCATCCCTGTGATTCTGATGAGAGGCCTGGCTTGGCTGCTGTTGGGGGGGGGGGGGCGGGGCCACTGACACGGCGACACGGGAGCATATATGTATATATATACATATATATATGTATATATATATATATATGCATATATACATATATGCACATATATATATATATATGTATATATACACGCATGTATGCAAAATGCACATAGCAACATACATCCACCCGGGTCCATCCACACACACACCACACACACACACACACCCATGCATTAACAACTAATATATACATACATACTTACTTTTGTACATACATACGGATCCAGATAAACATCCATGCATGAATGCATGGCGTGAGCAACCTGCAGGCCGAGCCTGCATCCGCCGTGCTCGAAGACAAGGCAGCACAGGGTTTGGCTATGGAAATCGCGAGGAGTCCATGTGCTACAATAGGCAATATAGCGACTGTAGCTTCTGTTGCTGCTGCTGCTGCTGCTGCACTTCGGAGTCATGTTTTTACTGTTTATTCCTACTGCCGTTCCGAATTTTGTCATCGTGTTGGTTGTCACTCTTCCTCATGGTCTTCATCTCACTTTCTACGACTGCTGCCATTGCTCGTACTACCGTGTACTACCCGTACAACTCGGTTGCTCGTTCAGTCTGTTACCTGTAGCATTACCTGTGCTATTCGTATTTTTGGCTCTGACACTAATCTACGGTCGATTGCTGCTGATGCTACGGTGTGTTATCATTCGTATTTCTATCTGCTCGTAATTTTTGACAGTGCTGCTGCAGCTACAACTGCAACTGCTGCTGCTACTGCCTGTGACTAGTAGTACTGCGACTACCAATTCGCTGATGATTCTGAACGCTCTGTGTCCTCATTCGGCGACTGTGATGGATGGCGGACATTTCTCCTAAGCTCCAGGAACCGGTATGTAGACGTCGCAGTCATCAGACTTCTGAGCCGATCAGATCAGGCGTGTGCAGCTGCGTATTCAGGGCACAGCAAGAGAAGCCGGGCCCGAAGAGAGAAGAATACCAGCAGGAACATAGGCCTCGGGCGAAGAGCCGTGACCGTTTGAAAGCGTCTGGAGAACCAGTCACGGGCCCAAGCCCCACATCAGTTCTTGCGGACAAGTCGCTTGAACTCTCGTGCTGCCACTGCCTGGCAGTCGCTCACCCTGAAGCAAACTCAAGGCACACCCTCTGGCCAAAGCATCTTGACCACCGCGTCAAAAGGGACAGTCACTGGAAAAAAGCAGCCTGCACCATCACCAACCTGAGCTGGTGCGTTCATGCCCGAAATGCTACAGGCGGATTAGGAACTACTGAACGATCGCATGCAGTTCTGACAAGAGTACAGCATCTGCTCAGCACGCGGCGCCAAGTAGAACACACAGCACCATCGAATACCTTGCCTCACCCGCAGCTCCAACACTGCACAACGAATAGCCGATTGTGATATTCCGTCACAGCTATGCTCACGGGGAAGTTCGGCATGAGTCCGTTCTGACTCAACCGTTGGCCGTTGGCAGGTAGGCAAGCTTACTGAGGCACGGGCACGATGTGCGGCGCGAGTCTCGACCTGATGATTTTCCAGCCTGGCCACAGGCTCCCGAAGGGATTCGTGTTGCGCGGACTGATCTGCAAAGAGCACCAAGGCAGAGCAATACGTGATTTTTCATCCAAGCGGGCTGCGCTGTCCCGCTCAAAGCCTTAGATGTTGGGATCTGCGAATTGCAACGGATAAAGAAGAAAGGCACAAGTGATCAAGGATGTTTTGCCCTTCCACATTGATTGTTCAGGATACCTGACAGAGCCTCTTGAGTATAAACATCTCGGAACAACTGCTGCTCGTGAGTTTGGTTACATCTGGTTCCTCAAACTGGTTTGAGTGGTCAGCACGTGTGTTTGGATTTTTCGTTTGAAAGCCAAACTGCACTTGAAACCAACGGAACATGAAAACAGGGCCCCGGCAAACGCTGACGCTTTGGGTCCGGCTCAATGTCGTCGAGCAAATCCTCATGCCATCACTGCAAAGTGGAGTCTTGCCTAGCCACGGCTTGACATGGGAGTCAGATGTCCACGCCGATTGTTACGACTCTCCCGGCAAGAACAGTACACTGAGTGATGGAAACATTGCAGCAATGATGCTAAACGTACTACAGGCACAACCACAAGTATACTTCACGAATGTACGTGTGTTTGGCAGCGCGTTTGTCTCCCTGTCTGTCCAACTCTGTCTCTGTCTGTCTTTCTGTCCATTTGTATGGCTGTCTGCCGGTCTGCCCGTATGTGCTTGCATGCATGCGTGCATGCATGCATGCATGTGTGTCTGTGTACACATGTATATGTGCAAGTACAAGCACACGTGTCTGTATGTTTATTTTTTGTTGTTGTGTGTCTTTGCACACGTGTATGTGTTGGTATGTGTGTATGCAGGTGTGTGTGCATGTATGGATGTTGTGCACCTTTGTATGTGTATGTTTGTCTATATATATATATATGTATGTATGCATGTATGTATCCGAGTATGTACTATGTACTATGTGATACGTATATGTAGGAACATATGCAAACATGTTTGTTTATGTATGTGCGTGTATGCGTGCGTACTTTTAGTGTCGTATGTATATGTACAGTGTACAGGTATGTAGGTATTTGTGTGAGTGTATTATGTAATATGTAAATGTACATACATGTGTAGACATGTCTGCATATGTATGTACATGCATGCGTATGTACATATATATATATATATGTATATATATATATATGTCGTATGTATATGTACACTGTACAGGTATGTATGTATTTGTGTACATATGTCTGTGGCATGTATGTGGTATGTATGCGCATGTATTCAAATGTGCGTACATGTATGCATGTGTGTAGTATGTATACACTGTATTTATGTACATACAGATATGCGTTTACAGCATGTATCGTTTTGAATACACGAACATGCATTTGCATGTACCCGTCTGAGAGCTATGTGCGCGCGTGTGAATGTGTGTGTGTGTGTGTGCGCGCATGCGTGCTGTCTGCTCCTGCAGATACATGGACAGAAACATAGCGGTACTTGGAAAAGGAACTGATCAAGTGGTGCCGGAATATATGGGTCAACATGCGATCTCTTTACTGCTGCTGCTGCCTGCTGTTCATTCTTCTGCATGCACATGAACTCGTTCATGCATTTGCTTCGGCGTTCCGGAAACTACTGGCGCAGTTCTAGTTTATGACATGGCACATAGTCTCCCAAGTTCACATGTACAGTTCCTAGGTGCCGGAAGGCGTTTACACACCCCAAACTTATAGTTTTGAAGCAGCACTTATGGTCCTGCAGAGATATGCCACTACGGGTGCAGATTGTATGTACATACACACAATGAGGCACGTGCAAATTTGCTCATGTGACTACATGTATGTACAACAGTCTGGCTTATGCTGGGGCTCGAAATGATATCTTCGCCTTCTACGAGTGGGTGGGCTAGAATGTTTTGTAAATCATTCCTAAGTGCACATCGCGTGACTTAAGCTTTGTTGCATGATCGAATTTTCTTTCACTTTCCGGTCGCTAACCTACAGCAGCTTGGGTCAACATTGCCAATTCGGCATATCAGAGAAGCTCTCTGCTCATCGCCTTACGGCAACTCACAGAAAGTTTGTACATTTTCAGCTCGCAGGACAGCAACCAGCAAAAGTCTCGGGCTGATGCGCAGTGTGTGAGATGTAGTCAGGGGCTCAATGACATTCTTTGCCGATGCTTCAAACTTGCAGCTAGCGTTAAGTTCGGAACTTGAGAGTCTCACACACGGCTCGTACATGACGTACCGCCAATTGCAACGCTGCCAAAGGTAGCAAAAGCAGGAGAAGATTCATACAGAAGGACGAACCTGATCTCTACTGGAATTCGACCTGTTTGGCCTTTCTGAATCTTTCCCCTGGTGCTGGCATTCTGTCCTGTGAGACGCGCGCGGACTGCTTTCCTCTGGAATGTAATGGATGTACTGGGACAATGGCTTGCGACAGCCAACCTGACGCCCCGAGGCAATCAGCCGACACAGCCTACTCGTGTCGAAAGGTTGGTGCTGCAGCAGAACGTCCGGCCGCAGCGCGGGCCCCAGTCGTTGGGTTCACCTTTGTGCTCAAGTCCTAATGAAGCCTGATCTCTGTCACCACAGCCGCCCGTGTATCGCGTAATATTACTGTGTATGTAGTATTCATATTATATATTCATTATACAAAACAGTCTATTCCGTTTCGCTAGAATTTGATAAAATCACTTCTGTTCTGTTCTGTTGTATTATATAAGACTATACTATATCATAACATGTTATAACTATATACAGTATATCATGATATCATAGGATACAATCAGTATTGTATAATACTAGATTATCTTCTACAGGTACACACATATATCCAGGTATGCACAGGTGTACTACATCTTCTGTGACATCTTTCGACTTACATTTGGAATCCGGGCCTGAGCTGAGACGCCATCGTAGGCGCCCAGGATCGATTCCTGCAAAGCACAGAGTTGTTGGGGACTTATAGCGGGCTTCCGTTTGTGTCGTTTGTGTTCTGATCTGTACCGGCGTGCGGCAAGCTACTGCAGAATCCCAATCCAATGCGCAAACTTTCAGTCTGAGGCGAGCTAATCGGGCATGCCAATGGCAGGGTCTACTTCAGCGAGAAGCTATCAGGCAATTCCAGATTGCAGGGTCCTGTTTTGTCACAGGATATTGTGGGCTTGCAAAATGCAGGTTTTCTGTGGCATGATAGTGAGGATTGCAAGTTGCATGGTGGTGCTGTCTTGGGGCAAGACACGACAGTTGCATGTTACCGAGAGTGAACAGTTTATGTAGGTGTTGCTTTCTGCATTGCTCTCCCGATATTGTCGCAGCAAGGTCAAACGAACGGACAGGAATTGAGGAATTCCAATTCACCCGGCTCTGTTTTGCGGCAGGCATTGGCGAGTCAAAAGTACTGCGTCGTTTTCTCCGACAAGCTGTTGGGGAATGCAAATTTTTAGAAAGCTGTTGGGCAATGCAGGTGCGTTGGGCACTCTCCTCGCACAAGCTGTTGGGAAAGCGCACTGTTTCTCAGTAAGCGAGGGGAGCAACGATCAAGCACAAACTTCGCACAGGCCCCAATACCCACAGTGCAGCAATTCCGAATGTTCCGAAGCATCAGTTTTGCAAATCCCCAACCTCAAACTAGAATGCACGACGTTGGCTTGGGCTAGCCTGGCTCGGCTTCAGTCGGGGTGGGGGGCTGAGGCGGAGGGTGCTGAACTTTTAAACGCTTGCTCACGCTATATATGATACATTGCTGTCGCTACTTGAAGCATTGGCTTCAATGACAGATCCGGATAACACAGCACACACCTCACACCTTAGTCGTTTGCAGCTTGTGGTAAAGAAGCTTGGCTGGGTCTGCTTCAGGGGGCTACATCTGCCAGTGGAAAGCTGGCAAAAAAGACCAACATCCTCCGTGAATATGTAAGCAATTTCAAGCATTGCATGGCTTGGAGGTCTTGCATCTGTGATCAGGCTTGTTGTTATGGTGGGTACCCTCATTATGACTGTTGTCAATGTGGCTGGTGTTTCTCCTAAACAGCCCCCCTCCTGGTCCTGCAGCTTGCGAAGTGGCAGTGGTATTGTAGTTTCTGAAACTGGGCTTGGCGAGCCCGAGGTGGGCCCAAATCCCCAAACACGTGTGCTAACACCGCAAGGGCAAACATCCTCCTGGAACCTGACCAGCAGAGTACGACTATGTGAACACTCTGAAACATGGCTTGGTTTGGCCTGCATGGCTAGTCTGCAGGGTGCGTTGGCGTGCTTGTTGTTGCGAGTAGGTTTAGGGTTTCCGCAATTGCTATCCTTAAGATGCCTCCCCCGCCTGATAAGTCGGTGAAAACCACAAAGGACGGAACACACATCAAAACAAGTGGGAATAAAACGAGGCTCGCATGAGCACAGAACCAAGTAGAACAAAACTTACACCATTATTTGTCCATCATTGTTCCATTCGTTTTCCATGGCTGGTTCGATTGCTTGGGTGTTGTTGCAAATTTCTGGATTTGAGATCTACTGGGAATCTACTGGGCCTGGGCAGAAAGGAAGACACCGGACCCATTGGAGAACAAGTTGAATACTAAGAGAACCGAATGAGCATAGGATCAACTTCAAGACTTACACTATCATTTAGCAATGCTTTTTCAAATGTGTTTTTGAATGCCTCGGTGTTTTTGCAAATTTCTGGATTTCAGATCTACTGGACCTGAAGACTAAGAGACATGAGAGGCCGAGCCAAACGGAACAAACATGGAAATACAACTGTAATAAGCCGCAATAGCGCAGAATCAGCAAGAACAATATCTTCACTATATTCACTATCATTGCCTGGTGGTTCCCCCATTGCTTTACAATTTGTTTCAACTACTTCGGTGCTTCCGGGCGCTTTGCAGGATCTGGAGAGACATCAGACATTGAACCAAATGGAACACACATGGAATGAAACTGGTATGAACAATCGATTAAGCATATAACCAGCAAGAACAATATCTATACGGCTGTTTCCCCGTATTGTCATAGTCGTTTCCATCGCTTCGATGCTTGCTGCGGAACGCGGAAAGACATCAAACACCGAACACAACGAGATAGTTGGGACCACATATCTACATCCCATTATGTTTCCCAATGTCTGTTTGATCGACTGACTGGCTGAATACTCGGATTTCATCTGATATCCCGAAAAGTAAACCAATTATTTGCCATTTCCCGTGATGACAATATTAACAGGACCGGGGCATACTAATGCTATCCTCGTTCCGGGTGTTTCCGTGATGGTGCCGCTTGTCGCTGCCACTGTCCTTGTCGTTGGGATCGTCGCTGTCGTCGGTGCATGTTCTAATTTATGTTGCTGTTTTACATGCTTTCGTTCCGGGGCTTTTCTTGCTGTCATCATTTCCTTGCTACCTTCACCGGTTTCCTTCGAATCGGGAGGAAGGACAGCAAACAATAAAGTCCAGGGAGCAGAAACATACTACGGATTGTGCCTTGCAGATTCAACACTCGTTCCTGCCCATTGACTCCGGGCGTCCCTTCAATGCTTCTTGCTGTCCGAAGGATTCTCCTGACAAAGTTAAACTGGTGTGCGCGTCAGGCTTGATCTCAAGCGGCAGCCCAGCGTGTCGACGCTAGGGAGACGTCTGGTTTCGCACCTATCACTCCGTCAACTTCAATAACGGGTCTTCCCTCTATCTTCAAGCAAGCTCGGTCCTTGATGGGATAGGTGGTCTTGCGGACACAGTCTCCGCAGCTTTGGCCGCCACTGATGGCCAACTGAGTAGACATTGCAGCCGGAGTCTGAAGAAGTCTGTGTGTTTGCACGTGACTCGTGGGATCCTTAACAGCTGGTCGAAGGCTCGGCACAGAGCTCCAACCTGCACTCAGCCAGCCACCCGATAGAGCTCTGCAAAGCCCTCCATCAGATCATCCATCCACTCGCCCACCTTACAAGCAGACCAGCCAAGTGTTGGATGGCCACAGGGAATGCTCCTTTCACCTCTCGACCACGCATAAGCATCAAGTTCGTGGCACCGCTGGTTTCGCCCAAAGTTGAGGCAGCAACCTCCACTTTCTTCTCTCCTCAGGTGCCGAACACGCATCACGACCAATCTTGAATCTGTGTCTGTGACATCGCTTGCTGCTGCCCGGCGTCCCTTAATCTTGTGGTCCTTTTTTGCACTGTCCGTAGCCTCCTCTACTCCAGAGTCCTCGAAGTGCGCGAGTGTACGACAGACTGGAGGTAACCTACACAAACAAAGAAGATAAGAACAGCAAACAGGTGGACAAGCAACGAGATTAGGACATCTACCACCAGTGGTCACAGTCGCAAGCGCAGCAGGAGTAGAAGTTGGAGTAGCAATAGCTGTGAGAGTAGTAGTAGTAGTAGTAG